TAAGCTTGATTCAGTTTACATACAGGCCATTCCAAAGTGATCAGTTTGAGTTTGAATGCGAACTAACCGTGATATTCAATTTGGATACCTCAAGTAGTTTTGGGATGAGAATCAAGGTAGTGTTTACGAGGTCTCCAGTTCTTGTTTTGTGAAGAGTGCTCATCCCAAGTTCCAGAGCTAAAGAGACTGGAAAGTTTGAAATAAAATAGAATAGCATCCACTATGAGTTGTTAAACCAGCAGCTTAGAACTTCTGAATGTATTTATGTGTTAAATAACTAAGTTTACTCTCTTTAATCCACTGCTCTGTATTTGATTTATTCTCTGCAAAGCATTTCATTTCGACTTTCCTATTATATGTGGAATTTATAGGTTGCTTGTCATATATCAGTGTACATGTGCAACAGATACAAAGTAATACACATCCTGCTCACTGTCACATTCCCACAACAGATATAGGTTATTACCTGCTTTGTTTGGTTTTTTGTTCGAATTCACTGTAATATTCATTGTGATCAAACTTCATATAAATAGATGTTTACTTAAAAGGACATTTTATTGTGAATGTATTTAAGTTTCTTCTTCAAAGAAATGTCCTTATTTCCCACATACACACAAGAGTGTTTATTTTGATTTATCTTTGTCCATGTAATTTGACCATTATAGATAATTAATTGCTTGCAGTCTGTTTGCAACTTCGAAAGTGGGATTTTACTCAAGTAGCACCTAGCATTCCTAGCTTGTGCGACCCCTCTAGTTGATTTGGATTTTAGTAATTTTGGATTTTATGAGAATTTCATGTGTGATTTAAAAGAGGTAAAGAGAATGTGGAAGTTAGACTAAGTTTCATGTTTTCTATGTAACATCTTAACCACGAGCTTCAGCTGCTGTACTAAATAGTGTCGTTTCTGCATTTAATTTTGCGTCAAACTGCATTTTGTGGAATCTTCATCAGGGTTCTGTGGGTGGAACAGAAGTTGTTTGAGAGTATTATCTTGCCTAAAACTTTGCTTGTTCTGTGTACTTTAGCTACACGTTCAAGATCACTTCTTCACAATATTTAATTCTCATTCCAACCATTATGTTCTTACCACAAATTCAAGGTATTGTACACCTTATTAAATTTGGACCTGTAATGAGATTGATGTTTGTCACTGTTGTATCTTATCATTGTAGCTACGATACGTGAATTTGGTTTTTGTTATTTATCATTCTCAAACTTTTGGTATAAAATCTTCTACAAGTTTCTCAAGCATTCATTCTTTTGTAAATTTTTCACAGATAGGGTATGATTTCTTTGTCATCACCTAAAAATCTTATGATGAGCGTCTAAGTAGAGAGAGAGAGCAGTCTTTGAGTCGTGTCAACAAGGTTATGTTCATATATCTATCAGTTTATTTTATCCTATCCCTTCATCATCATTCAATCCAAATATTACAAATTTCACTGTCTGCCAACTTCGATCAGATAATAAAGTTATATATCTCACATACATCTGAAAGTCCATATTATTAGATCTTGTGTCTCTCATGTTATTATACGTATCTGACTACCTGTAGGTATAATAATACAGTATACACTGCCGCAATGCATTCAACACCAGATGCATTTGGGGATGTAACCTTAACACAACGTTTGAGCAACATAAGCGATATGAAAAATCTATTTGTATAATCTGTTTCTTACTTTTTGTATTTTTAGTGAAAGCAGCAAGAACTGCTTCTCTTCATTGAGGAGAAAGAAAATATAGCTGGGATAAAGAGGCACGTACTGGAACTAGGCTAAAATGGGATGATGGGCATGGAGTGAGAAGTAGCCGAATTGTAAACCTGGAGTGCAGCTCTGTACTTCACCAAGTGCTCCATTCAAGTGTCAAGTGCCTTACACTTCCTACTGAGATTATTGATCCACTACCTGACTCATTTAGAGTCATTGATCCTGTTAGCTAGCCCATTCCCTTTTGGTATGGAGGATATGAAAACATAAGGCATGATATAAAAGCTAATGATCTAGGATGCACTCTGGTCCTGTGGGAGTTCCATTATAGTGCTCCTCAGCTCCAGGTCCACAAATTACCGATTTCTTAACAATAAGCTCAAGCATCACAAGTTACAGATTATGGCTAAGCACCATTGATGGCTTTAATTAAGCCAGCATTGCCTTCACAATGAGCTAATGTAGTTATCACTGCTTTTCAACTAGGAATTCAGCTAGGATATACATCAGTCTTCCATCATATAAAGGTGCTGCAAAAGATGTTGTGGAGAGGATTGAGGCAACTTAGACAGGTAACTCTGTGGAACATTTGAATAAAAAACAGTCAAATCATATAGAACTTATTGGTAACCACGATGGGTGCTGTTGAACACCAGAACCACATGTATAACTGAGACTTAGTATGGAAGATCTCTGTAACAAGTTTTATAAAGTGAAAAAGATCAAATAGGTCAAAGTTCGAGGCAGAATATCTCGGAGAGTCTAACAACTTTTCTTGGTATCATTTACATGACAAAGCATCTTAGAGTATAGCTGAAACTGACTAGAAGTATATCTCATATAAACTTTTACAAATGGTTTGTTAAGTGAGTCTTTCTTGCATCATTTAAGCATTAGGACCATTCTGACACTAATTAAAGCTGTGGCAGTGGTGATGAGATTTGAAACTGTAACTTCAGAGTGCAATAATCCATTAGCAGATATCAGTGTGACTTCATCTACTCTAACACAACCTTCATAAGTATCTGCACTTCCAGAGTTTCAGAAAAACAAGTTGCAGCCTTCAACTACAGTTCTAACTGAATGCTGAGTATCAGCAAGAATGGGGTCCATCCATGAGACAGGAATTCAACTATTCCATATTATCCTACTGGATAACAGCTGTGGTAAGACAAGTATTATGGTCAACATTTTGAGGGAAACCAATATGTATACTGTTGCTATGGGTAGCCAGCACACTTGAAACAAAACTGTCCAAACTAGCTTAATTATAGATATGGAGTAGCATACATCTTGCCCCAGTATCGAGTAACAATGAAAGGGCTATTTATTGTTGGATTTTCAGAGGTTTCATGAGATTTATTGATATCTCTGTGTCAGAAAGGTGGTGGTTCGTTTATCCAAACTGATTTGTGCCTTTAGTCAGACATGTCTGTAAGGTTGAGTTCTTAGTTGACGTTGGAGTAGTCAGAATTTTATTTTTATTTTTTTTTGCAGTATTCTAGGCATTTCCAGAAAAGCAAAGCTCAGGCCACTGAACATCAACTTTATTCTGGATATTAGACTTAAGTTAAAATCGAGCAAAGGTGTTTGACTATGGCTTACAATCAATGCTACTTCTCACAAACTTAATATACTAGTAATAGATCTTGGTTCCGGTAAATCCATCTTAGAGATGGACCTACTGCATGACCCG